GAAAGAAGGCTTACTTATACCCACAAGCCACTACTTGCGTGTCACTCAACACAACTCTATATCAAGTTAAAGAAATATTTGGGCTAGACAGAACAGTGAGCCTCTCAAAATTCACAAACGAGGTGTTTTTTTTTTTTTTCATATCTCATGAAAATGTCTTCAGGGACAATTTCTTTTTCTTTGCTTCTATATGAATAGGTGAAATGTTTCCTTATTTTTCCACGCAGCCTAAGGTAGGAGTAACAATCTATTAGTTGTAAAGAAAGCTCCATGGTGTAGACAGGGACACCAAATGTTTTCTTTGCCTTTCCTCTTAGCTCTGGCCCATAAAGAGACTAGCTTGTAACGAACTATCTATCTGGGTTCAAGTTCTTACATGAAAATTAAGGATCCTAAAGAAACCAAGCAAAATGCACTTATTTTAAACAATGTATCTTCTTGATGAAATCTCCTATATAATAAATATCAAAGGATATAGGTAGGTGATGGAATGGTTTGAATTGGTATTATAAACAGTGTTGGCCAAATGTCCATTGGCTTGTAACTGATACTGATTTCAGTTTTAAAGTAGATAAGATTAGTTAACAGTTATATTATAAGCAGGGAGACAATCATAGTAAACATAAGCAACAATAATGACAAAATGGTAAGAGTTAAAAAATATAGAACTAAAATATCACTTGAAGTTGGTGGCAAATCTGTTGAGACACTTTCTACTGATTCTGATTCTTAGTGATATTGAGAGTTAGGTTGTATATGAACATAATTAATGAGATGAGAGAGTGCAATCAATATTACACTCGGATTCAGAAACTTTGGAGTGAAAAAAGTGTGTATTTTAACAAGTTTTCCATGTAATTCTGATGCATGCTAATATTTGAAAAAATCTGGCTTAGACTGTAACTACTTCTACAAAGATTACAAAATCAAATACTTAAAACAAAGATCAATATTTGCATTAAAGCTCTCATTTTCCTTCTGAAAATACCTTCTTGGGATACTAGCAAGTATGACCATTGTTGAACAGACATGGTTTACGTCCTGATCCTCAAGTGGAATATTTGCATGAAAAATGAAGCCTGTAATTTGTGAAGGAACAGATTCTTCTAGAATTGAAAGGGATGTTCAATAAGCTGAAAGGTATATCATTGAGAACAAATACAGTATTACCATTTTTTAAATTGGGATATATGAGGAATTCTATTTCCTCTTGGACGTAGAAAGCTGGAACTAGTGCTGCTTCTACCCTAACAAGAAAAATCCATGTAAACAGAAAAAATCATGACTTTGCTGAACACATCAAAGAGCTGAAGTCACCAGTCAATCAAACAGTTATCAAATCCACTGAATCTCAGGCTCCTCCAAGGAGAGATGAGACACAAGCACATGCTCACAGTGACAGACTACAGAAGGAAGAGATGTTGCGTGCCACATAACTAAGTAGGAAGCATTCAAACAATTTTTAATGGATTGGTGAGGGTCACATGTGGACTAGGGTAAGCGTATAGAACCCCTGGGAGCTGCAGACAAGGGGAGTTTGCACCCATTCACAGACTCTTCTCCATGGACCTCAATCTCCTGCTTATGAGAAAGATTGTGGGCAGAGCACGAGATAGGCAAGTGCCTTCCTTGGTGTCGCAGGTTTGGAGGGGGTAAGTGGTCACCGCTGTGAGAAAAGCATGAAGCCCTGCTGCAATCCTTCTGTGGAAAACAAAGCCTTGAGCCTCTGGGGGAGGAGCAGAAAACTCTGTCACCACCAGGGCAAAGGTACAGACCCACTGTAGCCAGGGGAAAGGTTAAAAAAAAACTTCTACTCCTGAAGAAGTCCTGGACACAGGTTCCTATACCAATTACATTAGAGATCTGCTACAATGGGGAGAGGGAAAAGAAACTCTCCCATGGAAGACAAAACAGAGCCCTAAGATGGAGTTTGGCTGCCACAGAGAGAAGAGGCAGGACCACTGAAAATGCCATCTCTAAGAGCTAAAAACACAGAGCCTGTCTAAGGCAAAGGCTGTACTCAAACTAGAGAACCCCTTGCCCTCACCACCAGACTAGCAAGCACTAAGTAATAAGCAATTTTGGTCTACCACTGGGGGAGGAAAAAAGTGTGGAGGGGGACACAATTCACAGTAGAGATGAATGGGGAAGCTAAAGATGAAGGAGAAACATTGAGAAAATGCCTCTAAAATCCAATCTAAGAAAAAGGAATTTGAAGCTAACGGTACAGTGAAGGTAATCATAGGAATGAGAAAATACAAACTCAACTTAATTACTGACTAGATTCACTGAACAATATCCCCTCCTACACACACATACACTAATAGCCTAACAGAAGACATGTGTCCACTTCCAGACATAAAGTCCCTACTGTTATACACGTCTGGTGTTTAATCAAAAATTAGATGACACACAAAAAAGCAAGAAAAAAGCAACAATGTTAAGAGACAAAATAATCAACAGAACAGACTTAAACATGACCCCTTTGTTCAAACTATCAAATGGAATTTAAAGTAACTATGATTAATATGCTAAAGATTCTAGTGAAAATAGAGACAACATGCAAGAACAGATAGGAAATTTCAGCAGACTGATGGTGTTATGGACTGAATTGTGTTCCCCCCAAAATTCGTACATTGAAGTCCTAACCCTCAATGTGACTGCATTTGGACATAGGTCTTTTAGGGAGGTGAGCAAGGTAAATGAGGTCAACAGGGTGAGGCCCTAATCCCACAGAGCTAGTGTCTTTGTAAGAAGATGAAGAGACATGAGAGCTCTCTCTCTTTCCAGGCACAAACAGAGAAAAGACCATGTGAGGACATAGCAATGAAGTGGCCATCTACAAGCCAGGAAAAGAGGCCTCACCAGACAGTAACCTTGACAGCACCTTGATCTTGGACTTACAGCTTCTAGAACTGTGAGAAAATAAGTTTTTGTTGTTTTAGCCACTCAGTCTGTGGTATTTTGTTATGGTAGCCTGAGCAAGCTAATACATATGGGAACTATAATAATGAGTCAAACGGAAATGCTAGAAATAAAAAACATGATAAGAGAGGAAAGAGAATGCCTTTGACAAGCTCACCAGTAGACTCAGGACAGCTGAAGAAACAATCACCGAACTTGAAGATAAGTCCATAGAATTTACTCAAACTTGAACTCAAAGAGTGACAAAAAATAACAGAGCATCCAAGAGCTATGGCATAATATGAAACAATCTAGCATATATGTAATTTGAATCCCAGAAGGAGAAGAGAGACAATAGTGCAGAAGAATTTTGTAAAGAAATAATGGTCAAGAATTTTTGAAAATTCATGACAGATACCACAATAGAGATGCAAGAAATTCAGAGAATTCTGAGGATAAATTACTAGACAGACATACACACACACCCAAACACACACACACACATGCACACCCCTAGATATATTATGTTTAAACTGCTGATAAAAAAATGTTGAAGGCAGCTATAGGAGAAAAAAAAAAGAATCATTACTTCCACAGAAACAAAACTAAGATTACAACAGACTTATTAGAAACTATGAAAGCCAGAAAATAATGGAGTCAGATGTTTAAACTGCAGACAGGAAAATAAAATTGTTATCCTAGAATTCCATATCCAATGAAAATATCTTTGAGCAGTGATACTCTACACAAAATATAAAAGGAAATTCTTCAAAGAGAAGGAATACGATACCAGACAGAATTTGGATCTGTACAAAAGAATGTCTTTAGGAAAATCCATTTTACCAACTCCTTTAGCTAAATGGATGTTAAAAGAATTCAGCCTCTATGTCTGAGCCCATAAGCTTCAGAGAGTGATCCTCTCAATCAGGACCTTGGACAGGACTGGAAAGCAATCAAGTTCCTACAGTGCTGTCATCTTAGCATCTAGCATCCTTCCAAAGATTGGCTGAAGCGAATTGATGTCTCTGTTTGGAAAGTCATTTACTGATATTTTGCAAATATCGTGATTGAAAGGACTCACAATAGGAATATGAATGTCTCAGTGACTGTCTCTAATTTTATTATTATAATGCTGCATATGAATAAGGCTTCTTTGTTGGCCAAAGCAACAATAACAAAAAAAAATTCACTGAAAGAAAGGGTTTAAACAGAATATTATAATTAACTTTATGGCTAGACTGGTCCAGTAAGCTACCATGGACTGACAGCCTTATTCACAAGGCAATTTCTTCTCTTTGATTATAGTGCCTTCTAGACTGTCCTGAGCCTTACTAGCTGGCATTCTCTCCTGCTTCTGACAACAGTATACTGCAGGAAATTGTTAGAATTCTTATATTGCTACGATTTTATTTCTTTAAATTATATTCTTCAAGTATTCTGTAGCATATAATGAAATTTAATATATGCTATCAGATGACCAGGAGAGAATACAAGACTCAAAGAACACAGGGGGGAGGACAAACATTACATTCATATTTGAATTCGGGAGAAGTCTAAGAATATCAGTATCCATCTAAAGAGGGCAACTATGTTATGCAAAAATAATATTCCACAAACCACAAGACTATAATATTAATTTTATTACAAAAAATATATATATTTTGTATATGAGGCATACAGAATTGATACAACTAGTATAATTTACTATGCTATGTTTAAGTGAATACTTATTTTATTGCTTTCTTGTTGAATTTCTAATTTTTTTGTTCCTTCGTTTATTTTCTCCACTTGGAAACATCATTTCCAAGAACATATTAGGACGTAGAGCCTACTGTTTTGCAGTAACTTTGGTAATGCCTTTTAAAGCATCCAGGATAAGAACACTATATGAGACTACACAGCTACCGTTCCCATCACCTTGATCTAGGAAATCAGGGGTTTATTTATAAGTGTTAGTAGGAAGTCACGAGAAAGAAAATCTTCCTCTGCCTACTAATTCAATTCAATTAAATAAACATTCATTTTACTTCCATGTGCTAGCCATGAAAGACACGGGCAGTCAGCTTAACAGAAAGAAGAAGGATGTGCTCACTTACTAATTTGATTCGATGGCCGGGAGTGGCACTGATTTCCCATGTGCATTCCTTCCTGCTTGGGTACTTGTCTGGCCAGTTGGGACTGGTGATGAAGCCACTTGGACTGTGGATCTTCTGTTCACACTCAGCTGTGCCAATAACAATAATATCAATCAGTGTGGAAATCTAGCCCAGGATGGGGCCAGCAAGAAAGCAGTCTATTTACCCACTATCCTGCTGAAAGATTTTGTTGAATACTAACTAATCATCACTCCGGTCTCTGTTATCATATTCATCTGCTTTGGCAAACATGTTGCTAAGCATAATCAAGCGATGTTTGTTTTCTTGCTCACAAGAAATTAAGTGTTTACAATGAATTAGACAAATGCCTAAAAGAAAATGAACTACTTTAAACTGCTGGATCTGTAAGCTCAGATTTTAACAAAGCAACATATATTGACAATCAAGGATATCAAAACTTGGTATGTGCAAAATATTTAATGTAATGCCATAAACAAAAATCAATGGACTATGCCATTTTCAAATCATTTTTTTTCTATTAACAGAAACATCATTTACAGCTAATTAACATCATTAAGACACTTTATGAATCATATATTTACATTTTCTCTCTCCCTTAAAGTATACACTTGAATACCTAAATCATAATTTTAGCTGCTAAAGTAAGTTAACCCTAATTTCATCAAAATAAAATGAAGCGCTAAGGGTAAAAATAAGTGAACAGCTACTAGCCATGGAGAGAGCTTCTGAACTAATTTCAAAGAATATCTCATTCAGTTAACATGAAATTTCTTTTAGGTTTTTCACAACTAAAATAACTTCATCTTAGAGGGGACCATTCTGTATTATTAACGTCAAACTTTAAAAATATTTAATATCCTCAGGCTGTGTTCATTCTATATAATTTGCGAAGCAGTGCCCTACACCTCCTGGTTTAGACTGGGAATTATTTGTTATGTTTTGTGTATCCGTTCTAAAACACAATTAGTCTCTGAAATTTTCCAAGAAATCTCTTTGGGTAGAATTCTTCACCATATGGACAAGACACCTGTTACACTGCAGGGCTGCACAACAGGGTAAGATGTTGGGCATCTTACCAACATTGCCCAACATTATTGTGCTGTTGTTGCAGTCCTAGTACGAGCCCTTTATCTTAATTGTGCAAGGTTTCCACAGGGAGATTTGGATTCGCAACAGAGGAATACTAAAAGAGATGAATTTCAGCTCCTTTCAAAGAATATAGGATGACGTAGCAAGGCAATAGCCTTAAAATCTAGATCCTGTCTTGACAAGGGTTTTCTAAATTTCATTATTCTTGTCTTTGCCTTGCCATATGAAATGTGGAGTCTCCAGGATCTGGCAAACAGCCTCTGAGACAAAGCTAAGAAGCTCACTGCTAAACTGTAGAAAGTGCCCCTATTACAGGAAAGGTAAAAGATGATCCAACCCCTTTGCTAGCAGTGAAAATGAACTTTATTAGGGGTACCTGCATATAGTTCTATCTAAAAGGAACTTTCCTATAAAATCTTTTCTGGAAAATATTTACTGTAATGAACAGAGACTTAGGCTAATTTACTTGCTACCTGTGAGCCATGGGCTACACGCATACTTTGCAAAAGTTGTCTCTTTTTTTCTCTGAATTACCTTCCATATCTGCAAAATAACTGGCCCTATTCCCCAGCCTGTTGATTTAATAGAATACTTTACCACGTTACAAATATCAGAATCCTCATGAGTTTACGCTCAAACGTGAAAGCAAAAAGAGAAAAAAATCCTGCTTGCATATGATTCTGGGCAATGTCATTAGCTTAGTGAAAAGAAGAAAAAGACCCCTGACACATGACAATATTTGAATAGAACAGAATGGAACATGGGTCAATTCATGATATTCTGTAGTATTCGAATATGCATACAAACAGTTGCTATCTAACTGTGGTTTTAGTCAAATACTCACCAATCTGCATGTGCTAATGACTAAAGTTATAATATATGCCTTAGTAATTCTTTCAAAATAGGCATAAATACAAGTTAAGTAGAAAACTCAAGATCAGACCCTTGAAGGAAGAAATAAGAACTGAACAACTATTTCCTGTTCCCATCTAGCTTATATTGGCTGAAGAGATTAAGATAATTTTTTTTAATAAAATCTTGCTCACATGCTCCTGGAATACTGTAAGGCCTTGGGGCCAAAAACTAGTAGGCTACTATTGTGCTACTAGTATGCTTTCTTTTTTTTTTTTTTTGGCCAAAACCATGACTTAAAACTTTAAATGGCAAAGAAGCTACCATTTTCAAATGTCTTTCCTCTGGTAGGCATTTGAGTTGATACTCCTGGTATTTAAAGCAGCATCACTCATATAGCACATATATGAGATATTTGGGGGGGGGGAAATTAACCAAATGCAAAACATGTAGCAGAATTTAAGTTTAAATATGAAGACTGTTATAAGGTCTGTTCTATAAAGACCAGGGATAATGTGCTTTTCTGGCTGCCAGATGGCATCACAGCAGCTTCTATGTCTGTTATACAAAGTTATTCTAATGCCACCCATGTGTGAAGTGCAGAACCTTTAGATAACACGAGCTTTCCAATAGTATGCCTTGGATCTTTAAACACTGCACATATTTTTCTTTTTGGACATTTGAATTGTCAACAATGATATCACTCATTGATATGATTACCTCTACCTGGAAGCAGTGCTTTACTCAAATAGCATGAAATTCTAGATGTTGTCGAGAAAAGAACACTCCTTTCATACCTTCCTTGCAGTCATGTTTATTTTCATGCAGCACAAATCCATTACGGCACTGACACACGTAGCTTCCCATTGTGTTGACACACTCGTGTTGACAGCCGCCATTATCCTTAGAGCATTCGTCTTTGTCTAGCAAAGAGATAGCCCCATAGTTTAGTAAGTAGCTTTAAAACCAAAAACTTCACAGGAGAGTCGTTTAGCTGTGGTTAACACCGGCAAAGGGTAAACTAAGTCACAGCTTTCCCTGTTCCCAACATAAAACAAAAATCAAAAAATTTATAGTGTCTTAGTTCTACCCTCTCCTTGTTTAGCTTGGAGCCTTGTACCATGAATTGAGTTTCCAAGACCATTTGTGTGAGGATGACAGGTTGTAATCCTCTTTCGCTCCTGTGCTGGAGTAGAAGTTTTGAGTAGGTGAGAGGAAATGAAGGAATCTTTTTCCAACTAATCCTGAACATTTATTGCCAATTTAAAAAAATAAATGTAAAACTGTGAGTAGTTTGAATAAATGCAAGAAATGGAAATCCTTCAATATATTAACCATGGTATATAGACAGAGGCTAAACAAGGTTCCAAGATTTGTGTGTAATCACTTTAAAAAAAAATCACTCAGTATAACTACTGTAGTTGATTTTTTTCATTAACTCTGCAGTTATGCTTAGCATTAATGAATCTGGACATTTCATAATATTCCAAGACAGAAAAAGGCATCATTAGACTATCCTAAAGAAGTTTCTCCTTAATTTATATATCTTAAATCTATTCCAGCAGACCAGTTTATTAATAAGTAATTCCCTAAAAGGGCTTTTAGTGTGCTAGAAGTACAGGTCAGGACAGGAAATAAGAGCTTTAAGAAAGTGCCAACAAATTCAGTCCAGGGGTAAAAGCCAAACTAGATTAGCAGGCAGTCAAGCCAGCGAGAGGCATCAGCCACCATATTATGTCACTCAGCTGTCATTCCATGGCTGGCTTGTCCATTAAAGTCAAAACTGGCAGATTGCCCCTGACACACATATATGATGACACCTCATTCAGACTTGCATCACTCCCACAGCATAGAGAACAAAAAGGACATAAGACAATCATATCAGAGGTGAGGCTGAATTCAAAATTTACACTGTCAACTGATTTTTCTAGTGAGAATCTGGTAACACACAAATGCTATTTTTTCTTTCTTATCAAATCAATATTGACATTATGCAGATGGGTTTAGGAAAGATACTTTTATCAAAGAATCTGATAGTAATTTTTAAGGACACATCTATTTTTCCCCTTTCGGAGACTGATTACATGACATAGCACACATGCTCCTAGAATATATTCATGCATTGGCAATATCAGAATATTCCAAATACATACAGGCAGTCCCAAAGTTCTAAAGAATATATCAGAATCAGTATATCTGTGATTTATGTGTTCTTTATCTATCCTTAATTCTTCCATTATTCTTCTAACACTTAGTATGAAGACCAAGCAAAAAAAAAATGCAGAATAAAGAAGATTATTCTCTAAAAGAGCATCAAACACCAAAATGGATAACAAATAAGAATAGAGAATTAGTCTTGTAAAATTAATTTTAGCGAAATTCATAATAATTTGGAAGCCCGGTTCCCTTAACTGTATCAACAGTGAAAATTATAGTTTGTGAGTTATGAATGACCCGTGCAGAATGGGTGGATGGGAAACTACACTTCCCACCCCATGGTATCAGCTACCTGCATTTTCTAACTCAGACAGTCAAGCAGTAAATGATTTAAATTTATTGTTTTAATGCAACTTTCCCAGAGGCTCTTAAGATGCTTCAGAAAAATACTTCCTCATGAGTGGATGTAGAAATACATTTCATCTTTGTTAAATGGAAAGAGCCAATTTAAAAATTTCTAGTGCCAGAATTACTTACTCTGAAATAGACACATTTCCTATGAAAGCGTTTATATAATGATAGTTTGGTGTACTTAAAATAAAACCTGATAGAATGAATGTTAGTTGTACTAACCAGGTCAACCAGACTTTTGAGAGCTGGTTGTAAATCTAAGAATTGTAAGCAAAGACGTTTAGAGAAAATTAGTTCACATTTGCAACTGACTGGTAAACAGATTAACTGCTCAGTGACAAACCCTATGGCGGCGGGGACTGCCTGAATCATTCTTTTATCTGGACCTGTTTGGATTGCCATACATGAGAGATATAAAGATGTTAAAATACAAACATGAATACAAGTTATTAAATTGTTGAGTTTTGAAATCCATAGTCATTTTATAATGAAAAAAAAATCCAATACATGAAATACTGCTAACATTTAAACTTCATTCTAATGGAAATCTCAAGTCACTAGCTTATCTACTAGCTTATATATGGAGAATTATTTTCTTAAGATTTGATAGAACATAATCCAACTTGTGGTAATGATAACTAAAGAGAAATAAAGTTGAAAGTGAAACCAATCATATGTAAATTGTAGTTTTTTGTAGCCACTTATTCTTATTTCTGTTGTGCCAGAAAAATAATAATAATTTAAAAATAATTTTTAGAGGAGAAGGAAGATGAAGGAGTAGAAGAAGAGGAGGAGAGGGAGGAGAAAGAAGGTGATTTTATATAGAAATTATGGTCTGAGTATCTGTTATTTTTCAGTTTCCCGGTTGATTGATATTCCCTGCCTCCATCCCCACATCTAATGTTGCCTGATATAATCAATGCCACATGAAAATTAAGAGTTATCAAATACATTGCAAGAATATGTGTATAGGTTAATCTAAAGTTTAGCTAGAATTCAAAATTGAATTAATCAAAACAGTAACTCAAAGCAGCAGAGGAAAGTTATCATGCCCAGCAAAGTAGCATATAAAACTGTGCCTCCACATGTCAAATAGTCATATGAAAACAGAAAATTTCAGTAAACATGGGAATACTTAAAATTATTCAGATGTTTTACATCATGCAGACAAAAAAGCTATTTATTTAACTTAATATTTTAAGTTGTCCAGGGAGCAGTGAACATAGTGTGATTATTTTTTAAATGCTTGTTTGATGATGTTGATGAGAAACAGTAACATCATAAAAGATGAGTTCCACAAATATATTCTGGACTTATGTATAAAAGGTCATCAAACTAGGGGAAAACAGCTATTAGCAAACATGAGTATGTTTTCACTTTCTTTTCCTTTCTCCTCTTTGGACAGAAACTACAAATATTTTGAACAATGAGAATCCAAAGGAGAGAAGGGAGGAGGATGCAGAGTTTTAAATATTTCTCAGAATGTCTGCATAATAAATTCAATAACTAAAAACTCTATCAATAATTCATTTGAAATTTTCTAGCATTTTCATACTGTAGGCCAAATTTTTAAAAGTAGTTTTTATTAGTGAAAGAAACAAATTTTTTTTGAGTAGAAATAAAAACATTTATTTTCTGCAGATGGAAATTAGCCTCCTTCTTTGGAATGGACATATCTGCTTTCCATTCCTTCATGTTAGATGAAGGAAAGGTCCATTATTAGGGAAAAAGGAGGTGGCATTTTCCCATCAGAGGCCTGCAGAGGAACTCTGGGACTATCAGAGGCCATCAGTCTATGAATTATACATACTGGAGGGAACCGAAGTGGCAACCTGTATCAAGTTCTTGCAAGATTCAAAAATGAAAATTTTCTCTTTGCAGTAAGCTTCCTTGTCTGTAGGAAAAAGAAGTAAGGGGTCCATGCACCAGAACAGAAACATATATAAGCACATATACTCACAATAAGTGCTCAAATAGAAAATAAACAGACTCATGCCCAGTCGTGCATACACACATGCACACACAAACTCCCATGCATGCATGCACACATACATGGCACACACAACTTTCAACACAAAACCATCGAAGAGAAATCACCTTCAAAAAAGCACTATTAAACTCCACTGAGAGCTATGACAGAGACAATCTGCTCTTTCTATAAACATGAAATATTTAAATATCACTAATAATGAAAACTTAGAAGCAGGATTCAAAATCATATAGGAAAGTTTTAATTGTGTTACTATTTGAAATTAATCACACTACTATTGAAAGTTTTGTTAGAATACTATCAGGTTGAATTTCTTTTAAAAATATCTATGAGCATTCCACGAGAGAAATGGTGTACAGGAGGAACAACGGAAAGAAGAAGCTGTTCCCAGTGAGAAGCGGATAAGATGAGGAGCATGTCAGTTGAAATCACTTGCATTCAGAGGTACAAAAATTACACAAATCATATTATCCGACTCCTATATTTGTTACAGACAGAAATAAACAGGGAGTCAGGAAATCTGGGTTTTACTCCATTTCTGCCACTGAACAAGTCCCTAGGTCCATCAGTAATAGATCACACTGTCATTAAAGTCATCCGTGAGGGAGTCTGCCATTAAATGAGGTTTGTTCTTCAAATTCTGCATTCTCACTATTGCAGAATTCATAATAGAGTCTGTAGAGATGCCTAAAGAAGGAAGAATATCTATGCTCAACTCTTATCGCCTAAAATCATTTGCTATTATTTCCAGATAATGAATGCTACAATTATATTTTTTAAAGCCTGTCAAGTTTCCCACAAGTTGTTATTTTTACATACATAAACCCCTACTAACATTTCCTTTAAGTTTAACCCATTTAAGAAAAATAATCTGTTCCGAGTAGAATACAGTTATCTTTGTTTCATCACTTAAAATAAATAAACCACATCATGTATGCTTGTGCAGATTTGCATACTTTTGTTCAAATACAACATCATATAAAATTAAGTTTAGGGGCCAGCCCGGTGGCGCAAGTGGTTAAGTGCGCGCGCTCCGCTGCGGCGGCCCGGGGTTCGCTGGTTCGGATCCCGGGCGTGCACTGTCGCACTGCTTGGCAAGCCATGCTGTGGTGGCGTCCCACATAAAGTGGAGGAAGATGGGAATGGATGTTAGCCCAGGGCCAGTCTTCCTCAGCAAAAAAAGAGGAGGATTGGCAGATGTTAGCACAGGGCTGATCTCCTCACAAAAAAACAAACAAAAAAATTAAGTTTAGTTTTACTATCATATAAAGTAAGTCATTATTGTTAATCTAATAATAAACCTTGTTCATCCAAGAAAATCACAGTAATATATTGTTGGATGAGAAATCTTCTATGCCACTATATTTTGAATTAGCTAAAAAATTGAATAGACACATAATTCTATACAGAGTCCAAATAGCCTTATTTTGATATTCCTAAGTTTCTTATTTGCTTTAGTATTACTTCATTAAATTGCTTTTAAATATACCAAGAATCAGTACAGTACATCAAATTTGATTTTTGTAGAGGAGCTTGTAGATTTTCTGCTGTATAATACAATAACTTCCAAATTTTCAAGCTATCCATTTTTCATGACTAATTTATGACATTTAATCAGAATTGATATGTGATAGTTGCTTACTTTTCTGAACATGGAAGTGACAGAAACCAGTGATATTAGTTATCCTGCTAATAAATTCTTAGAGTTATCCTTCCAATTCCATTTCTGAAGTCTATAAGGTACTTATTTAAAATCACAGACTATGTGAAAAAAACCCTAAAATCTCTATGTGATTATTTTACTAAATAATTGTAATTTTTACAATTATATAGCAAATTTACAATTTTATTGTAATCTTTGCAATTACAATATAGCAAATTTTGGCAATAATGCTATAAATATTTTATTTCACTGCATACATTAAAAATCTAAATATATTTCCTTGTCTTTTTTTCTTGATGTATCACTTAGCTGCAAGAAAGTCAGAACTTATTTTTAAATAGTTTTCCTTTCCAAATAACACAGAATCACCTATTATCAAATATTATTTCTTCTTATTATTGAATTTCTCGATAATTGTTCTTGGAAGAAGAATGTGGAAAACTAGCTGCACATGTTATATTCTTCATTATGTTTTCATAAATTCATAACCACTTCTGAAATTTTTAAAACACTGGTTAGAAACAGAACCATTTAAGACTAAGTCTCCATAAAATCTCTTGAGTAATGTATTCAATGCATTAACATATTTATACAATTGTCCATAATAAGATAATATTATAAATTAACTATAAAAATAAAATTATAAAATTTAACTCAATCCAAACACTTGTATTAATATTACCAACTTGTATTAATATCTATTAATTAAAAAAAAGATGAATTTTTAAATTTCTTCACTCTGAAACAAAATCAAAGTCTGTTAGGTAATCTTTGCAAATTTAGAACTATTTTGGGTAACAGATAGGTAGAAATATGATATAAGTGTTTCTTTTCTAAAGTTATTTTTATATGTAAATCAGACAAAAACTCTTTGAGAGAAATTGGAGAAAACTATACTGCACCATCTTTCTTAACAAACATTGTTAGTATTCTTACACACCGATGTTCAGGTTGTTCCCACGCCACATGCTTAGCTGTATGCTCAGTGCGCAGAGAGTTTTATACCTAGATTCCCATTAATATTTTATCATATACAACCTTCTATACCATGGAATCATTACATCATCTTTATTGTGCATAAGAGTCCACAAAGTGCATTTGTTATAACTTATTTACCATTTTCCTCCTGTCACATCATTAGGTTGCTTCAAATTTCTGTCACTATCACATTATATCAAAATCCTTCTCCCAGATTTTGAGATATTTCTTTATGAAAGAGTCCCAAGAATGGGATTTCTGAGGCAAATACAATAATCATTGTAATGACTCTTGATTCCTATGCTAAATTTCTTTCCAAAGAGTTGGTCACAATAAACTCAGTAATGTGTTTTATCAAATCCCCCGAGAACAAATTTTAACACGAAAAGAACCCTTTAACTATATTTGTGAAATACAATATCCCCGTGGTTTACATGCTTTCTAATAAAAACAATGAATTATTTGACTTTTAACACATGATTATATATTATTACACTTAAAGCATTATTAGAAAACTAAAATAATATTTTCAATATGAATAGAACTTTATTAAAATGGGTGATCTTTTGTAAATTATGATTTTGTTATTATTATTTTACCATCTCTTGATAGTACAAGAGCTCTTTTTTTCAAATCTAATGTTTTTATCTTCTCTTTTGCTGAGCAAACATCTTCCCCACTAATAGAAACTCCCAGGAAATTAAATGTGAAATAGATCTAATTACTTATTCAGAACTACAGTATTTTAAATATGAATCTGACAAACTGCCAAGACTTTTCAATGCATCTAAAAGAAAACACTGAATGTTCATACTTAATGATAATTAGCTTGAACTTTACAAAATAATAATCTAATAAAAAAGTGAAAACTATATCTGTCGTTTTTCAGGTTACAAATATGTTGAGATAACTAACGCCATCTGCAAAGGACATGATCAGCTCTTACGGTTAAGACAAAGCAAGACAAACTAGGGTTTAAATTCTTTGTGACAGTGAGCAATTTACTTAACTCCTCACCTGCCTCATACGTCAAATGAACATAACAATGAGAATATTACAGCCTTATTTGGATTATTAAAGAGATAATATATACCTGCATAATAAGTTGTTAAAAATGGCATCTATAATAGAGAAGTTTGGGGTTTAATTTCTCCTTGAACTTCATTGCTCAGTTTACTTAACTACCTGTACTCCATCAAACAATCCAGGCTAGACTCTTTCAAAATGAAGTGTTGTCACCTAATTTATTTATTTATTTTTTTAAAAACCATTGATAAATACTAAAAATAGAGATGATTTCCCAAGAGCATCAGTATCAGTATTAGGTATTATGGGCTCAAGCCCTACCAAGGTACTCAGTAAATTTCACAGAGCACAGTTGCATAGAGCTAGGAATAAAGACTGTGTACTCTCATGTGCTGGAGAGCAGCATCATCTATATGTGCCTTCATATCTATAGTATAAGAACTAAAGCAGCCTACCCTATATTGCAATAGTATTGTTCTAAAGACACAAACAAATAACCTGTCTTTACAATTTGGAAAGTTTTGCCTGACCAAAAATATCAGAGAGTGAATTTTAAATTTTCTGGGTAACTTTAAATTTAATCTTATTTTGTCATCAGTATATGTAGCATGTATCTTTTTAAAAGAATTCCTAAATAAAATGTATGACTAAAGGTGAAAAGGACCCTGAATATCATTAATATTATGATAAAATGTATTTACTTTATAGTTTTAACTTTTAAAATAAATATTTAGGTGGTTCTAAGATAAGAAGCTTTATCTCTAACCAATGGGTCACCTAAAATTTATAAAATATACGATATTTATAAAATACTGAAGTCTAAGAAAGTCTTCCTTTCATTGAAATAGGTTATTAAAATTCTACTTTGAATGACATAAATCTTAAATGAATGACTGAGAACAATTTTTAAAAGGCAATTAAATCCAGAGGAAGGAAAGGAATGAGAACAAGGGAGCCAAGATCCACTGTGTTTTGAAGGTACTTTTGTGTATGACTTGGCCCTCAATGGAGCTTGTGAACCATTAACTTCAATTACACTGAAAACCCCAAACAAACCCTGGGCATTGTAAATCTCATTAATTTTAAACACATGGGGACTGGAATAAATGGAGTTTGAATTAACTCAATCCAAATTACCTAATATTAAAACATAATTGGAATTCAGTTGCTTTAAATTGTTTGCCAGTCTGAAAGGCAGAATAGCTTGCTATAGTATGGTTTATTACAATTTTATCTATTTTTGAAGTTTCAGTAATAATATTTTCATAAAGCATGATTCTTAAATTGGGAAAATAAGGGAATTTCACTGATGTTTCTACATATTTTCTTAAAATTTGGGGACCTTTTCTCAAATTTCAGCTCTTTAAAAGGGAAGTTTTACTTTGAGTTGGTTCAAGTAAACATTAAATTCCAAACATACAAGTGTCAACTGCTACATATATCTGATAATATTTTATTATTTTTAGTAAAATTATAATTTCCATATTTCTAGATGTCTTATTGCAATCATTTCTATAGTGATGAGGCAAAGTATGATTTTAATATCAGTTTAATAATAATGAAAATATAAAAATAATAAGAAAAATAAATATGTTGCTAAATAGTAAGAATAAAAAATATGTTGCTAAAATGAGACCTCATATTCCAAAACCAAAAATAAATTATTTTGAACTATCTACCATTTTTTGCAAGTCTGGCGTCATTACCCCATCCACTCGTATAGAGTTAAGTATGAAAATATTATAAAAATTTTGTGTTGTTTGTAGCAGCCTTTATAATATTTGATTAGAGTTTATATAAGGTCTAAGTGTTTGAGAGTTACATTTCATCAGGGCCCTATAATTAATATCTTAATTTTAAGTAATAAATTGTTAGACCCAGGTAAATGGTCATGCATTCTATATACCTCCAAGTTACATTTACAAAAAACTATGAATAATAGATACCATGCAATTTAAGCCCATCCCCCTGCAAAATCTATAATATACAGCATGTGAATACTGATACCTGAGAAGAAATGTGCTTTGAAGCCCTTCTTGGATACGGTATTGTCAGATTTGAATTCAATTCTCATATTGTTGAACTGGGATGTGATCACTTCTGGCACCTCAGCACCACAGAATCTGCCATGCAATTTAGACTCAGAGGAAAGACCGCTCCAAATCTCCACATAATCATATTTGCAAACCTAGAAAAAACATGGTTACTCCAGTCTCGGTATTGGAAAGTATCAGATGATTGACATTTGTTTTTGAACAATGTATCATGTTTTTCCCTCTTCACTCTTGCCTTAGTCAAACTGTAATTAACAGGTAAAGAAAAAAAAAAATCAAGAAAAGGCTTCAAACATGAGACAGAAGGCAGGAAAGACAGCTTAGAGAATTTTGCTCTGACTCTCTCCAAGAGATGTAGACGCAAATATATGCTTGTTTATATGTATTTACTGCATACTTCCTTTCTAAAAAAACAGAAAGAGTTAAGGAAGACTGAGATGAATATTTGTTAAGATGATGCGCTGATGGTCACAAGAAGAGCAGCAGTTGCGGCTTTTTTTTTTTTACATTTTAAATTTTCACTAGGAACTGTGAAAGAACTTGTCATGTAGCACTGTCTCATTTAATGCTGACAACAATTACACGGAATTGGTACATTTAGTCTATAAAACAAGCCTTAGAAATAAAATGATCTTTTCTATTGTAGAGACGAGACAGCTGAGGTTCAGAAATTTTTATATAATTTGTCCAAAATTACACATATTATACATAGCAGTGTGGAGATTAATAACACAGAGTTTGGCTTGGTCCACTGCTGCCTCCCAGAAATACACGTTCTAATCAGAACAGCACCATTAGGAACTTTCAAAGTGAGACAGACTTGGTACGTAATAAAAAGGTTCCTTTGCCTTTAAAATTATCAAAAGGACTAATACTTGTCAATTTTTTTGATTTGTTAGGTACTGTGAAGTTACTCTGTAACATTGTTGGAGGATTGCAGACAAATAGGAACTCTATTCAGTGAGATGGAAACAGGAATTTATACTAAAATGAGGTAGACTTATTCTGATTTGTGTGTGATGCACTAACAGCACTAAAATGGAAGAAGTTAAGTGAATGCCAGGTTTTCTTAAGCAATTTTACGGCCACTAACAGATGTTTCCATAATGCACTTCTCCAGAGTTCCTACGAGGCACATTGCGAAGAAAACATCTTGCATAAATGACCTTATTACATAAATGTGTAATTAGCAAGGTTTAACAATGCATATGATTGAACCCTGGGGCATGATTTGTACTTTGCAATATGTCAACCCAAATTACTAGTTCTCGTGATATTAATTAGGTGCTAAATAAGCAAAATGTTGCTAGAAAAAATGAAATGTTTTCTATCTACTTTGTTACAACTGCAACTTTTGTTTAGAGAGGGCTCTAACATAGTACAGGAGAATGTTTCCAAGGCTAAAGTTATTTGACACTGACTTTCCTTTTAGATAATAACATAATGAACAAAATAATGAAATTTTAACTTAACCCAGTATTCTATAAGTCCAGTTTTTGTTCACACTTTTATTTTAAATAGCTAATACATCAAACCATGAAAATGCACAGAATTTTGTAACAGCTTTTCACACAGTAACATCATTATAAATTTAAGAATGTGGGATATGTTACAGAGTTTATAAAGGTCTTTCTATGAATAAGGACCACTAACTACCGTGAGAAAAGTGCTTTCAGAACACAATGCCCCATTTATATAAAACCATCTACCCTCCCTCCTTCTGAATATAAACTTCTAGCCTTCTAAGGAACATCTATTAATTAATGAATTAAAATGTCATATCTGCCACAGCTAATAGCTTTAGGGAAAACTGAGAGACTAGAAGTCATTCCACGCTAAGCTCATACCAAATCATAGAGTTGATATGGAAATTCCCATTCTCAAAAATGAGAATGAAAGCTTTTCTAAAAATACTATAAAAATTATTTTCTTCATTTAAATATTTCCCCCAATTTCAGATAATTATTAAAGGAAAATGATGTTTCACGTGGATAAAGTATATTAGAAATATAAATTGCAGTCTTTCTCATCATAAAACTTACACACAATGAAAAGATCTCAAAAGGTCCATTGAGCTCTAAAATTCTACAATTCTCTGAAATATGTAAGTTCATCACATTTCAGACTTTAATTTCCTTTAAGGAAACACAAAAGGCAGCAACTTCTTTTCACCTCAAAGCCACAAGTAAGAGACTAAAAAATGAATAGAAGTGCCTTGGCTACTACAGGCAGAATTAAGAGAAAAAAAAAAAATTAATTTGAAAGAAAGAAGGAAAAGAAGGAAGGAAAAAAGAAGAAGCAAAGATACATACATAAAGACAAAATTATGCTATAAAACCCACCAATGTTACCAGGAATTATTGCCCCAGGAGCACAGATACATTATATTTCTGCTCTTTCACTTCTTTGCAAGTTTTCAACAGATATACATCAAAGACAAAACAATTCTTATGAGTTAATTTTATCATATTTAGAAGTTTTGAATCGTGTTCATTTTAAAATAAACATAAAAATAGATGTTGAGAGAAAGAATGTGGGAGTTAAGAAAAGAAGAGAAAGCAAGAAAGATCAAACAAAACAAACATTGGCTTTAATTTCTCTGGAATTAAACCAGTGTTGACCAATCATACAAAGGACACAGTTCTGAAAGTTCCCATTTCTAGGCTTGACATTCCATTTGAATTTGGTGCAGGTACTAGCATGAAGGAATTTTCAAATAAATGATTTCACTTATTTAAATGTGGTCACCTGACAGAAGACTGGACCTTTACTATAGTAACCTATATTTTTTAAATGAAAGATAGTGTCAACTAAATGCATATTCTATTAAGATTAAGAAAATCAATCTTTCCTTATTGTTGAACCACGATCACATTTATTATAATGAAAACCTACTTATATAATGAAAATATACCTATTTCCACAAGTAAAATACACCCGTTTCTTCCAAATGGATATTTTGGTTATGATTCAACCAGTGGATTTTGGTTTTTCTCTAGAAAAATCTATGTAACATGAAGCTGACCCTAATTTTTCCATAGTTCTTTAATAAATCAAGAAAATGCTGTATATTAATACACTGAGTAAAACCTCTCTCTATGTAATTTTCAATCTTCTAGGAAGTCTAAAATATCATCCAGCGCCAACACGAATTATAAGCAGTTGTGGAAGTGAGCAGTAGAGCAAAAAAAGGCTACAACATCTATACTATTGTACTACTGAAATAGATTCTCTTTTTCTTTATATTTTTAGTTTACCAGTTTGCCTTCAGGGATTCCCAAAACATGATAGAAAAAATTACATTTATTGTTCACTTACTTCATTGCCTTCCAACTCAAAAAACTCAAACTTCACAGAAATTCTGTACTGGGTTGGTGCAACCACTTGCCACACACAGTTCTTATTAGGAGGGTACTCCTTGGGCCAGCCCGGGGTGGTTATGGTGCCATTAAGTTTGGTAAGAAGTCCGCCACAAGCCGCTAGAGGGAAAGAAAAGGAAAAGCTTTTCTCCTAGTCAAGTCAATCCCTTCTTAGCACCTTTCCACTGATAACCAAACATCTCAGCATTAAATTTCAACCATCTTCCGGATTTTTCAAAATCCAAAAAACTGCAGTTTCTGTTCCTTAATCTTTAGTACAACTCTTTCAATCATCTAATCTCATTTATAAACTGATATTTTGTAGTTTTGGAGCCAAGCAAAGAATGGCTATACTACAGCATTTTAGATCAAAGTTGAGTGAGCAATATAAAAAAAAACAGGTGTCAGTTTTATTTTTTTTTTTCCTGGCGAGGAAGATTGGCCCTGAGTGAACATCTGTTGACAATCTTCCTCTTGTTGCTGAGGAAGATTGGTCCTTAACTAACATCTGTGCCCGTCTTCCTCTATTTCGTATGTGGGACGCTGCCACAGCGTGGCCTGATGAGTGGTGCATAGGTCCACACCCAGGATCTGAACCTGCAAACCCCAGACCACCAAAGAAGAGTGCATGAACTCAACCACTACACCATTGGCCTGGCCCCAGTTTTCTTATCTTTTAAATGAGCATAATAATATCTACACCATATGGTGGTTGTGAGAATTAATGAAAACGTATAAGTAAAGCACAATATAATCTGATGTAGTAAGACCAAAATCAATTGTTTATTTTCTTAAACTTTTTTCCAAGACAAGCAACTCTTGGAAAGACTCACCTGAGCTAAAAGGAAGATAAACGATAGAAAATGGAACATATCTGTTATTCCAAAAACTCTATTTAACAACTGGTTTTCTTTCCCTTTTGGATGATCTATTTAAAAGAGGTACTATTTATATTACCTCTCTTCCTTATTAATAGTGAAATTAGCAAAATCTGGGTATCCAAAAGCAAGTTAAGTTAAAAGAATATATATTATACGTGGTTTGTAATTAATTACTAGGGAGTCAAGAGTTACCTAAGGTTAACTGGTTTCTACTTTAATTGCCTTTGGGTATAAATGTGCATATGTATGCATATATGTATATGTGGTATGTATACATACATATACATACTACTATATTTATAAATATATTTTAAAAACCTACCTGTACTTTCACATTTACCAATTTTTGGCAAATTATTATAGTGTAAAATATTTATTTCTAGGAGCCACACAGAAATAATAGTCACGTTACTTTATTAACGTGGTATACAACGTCATCTGTTGCAAAAATACTGTATTTTCTTCATAAGTGTGTCCATTTTATTCCAGGTTAGGGAGCAGATTAGTAGTTTAATAGGCAGGATGGGGACTTTTGCCAAACAGAAGGATTTAAATGTTTAAGAAGAAACAGAGAGTTTCTCATTTTTTTTAATAGGTAAGCAGGGGTGTGGTATTTATTCATTAAGCAAATAATTTTGTCACCCTTGCCACTTACATGTCCTCTATTACAGATACAACAGAGAACAAGGTGCTTGTTTTTAGAGAACTTACATTTTTGTGAGAAACATCTAAAGTAAAGTAATAAATACATAAATATAAATAATGTTAAATTGCTACAAGTTCTATGAAGATGATTTTGGCAGACATTTTTGGAGGGGAATAAAGGAAGAAGAGACTGCAGGAAGGAAGGTCAGTCCATTTATTTTGTCTGTAATTTGAGTGCGGGGCCTGTAAGAGGATGCGGCAAGGGCAATGAAAAAGAGTCAGCTTTAAATTCTGAAGGAAGAGATCAGAGGACAGAGCAACAAAGCACTGAACATGAAATCTCATCTTGGAATGTACAGAGGAAACGTAGATAAACATGACAAAATAACGTTAATGAATCATTTATTAATAAAACACATATTTAGCTCCTGTTTTATGTCTGAGTGTGGTAGATGCTAGAGATACAAAGATGATTCAGATCCAGGACTCCTCACTTTAATAAGAGAGATGTGTCTATAATTTATATTAAGAAAAAGATGGGGCCAGCCCAGTGGCGTAGCAGTTAGGTTTGCACACTTGGCTTCGGCAGCCTGGGGTTCACTGGCTTGGATCCTGGGTGCGAACCTACTCACCGTTCATCAAGCCATGCTGAGGCAGCGTTCCACATAGAAGAGCTACAACTCTACAACTATGATATACAACTATGTACTGGGGCCTTGGGGAGAAAAAAGAAAAAGAGGAAGATTGGCAACCGATGTTAGCACAGGGCCAATCTTCCTCAAAAAAAAAGAAAAAGATAAAAACAAATGATGGATGAATGGATACATGGATGGATGGATGGATGGATAAAAATCTAGGTCTAGGTAGAAATAAGAATAGAAATACATATAGAGAGATGAGATAGACATATAGAGATATATAGATAGACTAATATAGATAGATAGAGATAGAGATACAGATACAACAAGATGGCCTGGTAACCAAAGGAAGAAATGACTGATTCTATAACAAGAACCCAGGCATTGTTTCACATTAGCTGTGACTATGAATTGAGTCTTAATAGTTGAGGAAAGAGGTTATTACAGAGGAAAGGAAAGGAAAGAGGGAGGCAGAAAGGGAGAGAGAAAGGGAATGAGACTATATGAAAGAAAGAAAAGAAAGGGGCAGAAGGTTTCCAGCAAGGAAGGCCACAGGCACATCCGGTGATACCTTCACAGCTCCTTTTGTCAGGTCCCAGCTCATAGCCAGGCTCACAGGCGCACTGATAACTGCCCAGTGTATTCAGGCATCGCTGCTCACAGCCTCCGCGGTCAGGCTTGGCACACTCGTCCTCCTCTATAAAGATGGCGAGAGTTAGAGAACAACTACAGTATTTTGTTATTATATACTAAGGTGTAAAATTTTTTGAAAATATAATTCTTAATGGCTCTGAATGAAACTGAGACAACTGATTTCCTCAACAAAGGAGCAGGAACAATTTGCAAGCCCTTGATGGATGATATACAAGAATTCACGTCACTGCAATTTTTATATAGACATGATGATATATAATAATTCCATATTTTTGTAAACATATGTACTATTTTAGTTATATATGGAAACCTGAAAAATATACATATGAAAAATATATATTATTTAAAAAAACATATATGACAAGATACTCCATAATCTCACTTTTCAAGAATAACCTATTGCAAGTTTGGAAAATAGCAAGTAATATTCTCTGGAGAAATTATGCATGGGCAAAAGACTAAGCACTTTTATAAGCAAATATATAAACATCACATGAGAGGATCTTGATAGCATGTTTTTTCCACTATAAAATAGAACACACAGAGAAGACGAAAGCACGTAAGTGTACATTTTAATGAATACTTTGAATAAATACAGTAAAAGTGCCAGGGTTCTCTCCTTTCAATTCATAAGGTAAATATCTAAGTAACTCCCAGGGAAAATCCATCACACTGTTGTTCTTTAAATAATGAAAATATTTAGATATTAATCACACTAAATTTTGACATACACAACTGAATCAATCATTTATTCTACAAAAATCAGTGTATAGAAAATTTTGTATTCTCTTCCGACAAAAGAATTTTATTCTACAATGACACGCTTAACATAAGTGCCTATGAATTTTCTAAAAGAAAATTTGATGTTATGATTTGCACTAAAATAGCTTCCTTTTTACCTCAGTAATACATACCAAATATGGGACACGAAAACAAACTAAAATTTGGTAATGCAATTCAAAATTAAAGCTGATCAGTAATAATTCTTTATCAAAAAGACATTTTAGGTATTAGAATATTCTGCAAAGGAGGTCATAAATTATTTCCAGTGTGGTGGAACACTATTCTCTAAGGGATGGTTTAGAAATGCTGCCACCTGGAAATAAACTGAAGAACTACATGTCAGGAAACCCCCATCTGATTATGAATCCTATGTTGATTATATTGCCAATATTTTCTCCCTGTCAGTATATCCTTTTCTGAATTTTGCTATTTTTACTATTTCATAAAAATCACGGTATAATATCCTAATGGAGTTCCTACTCGTGCTGCAAAGTTTCAAATTCCAGTATTTTACCAATAACCTTTTCCATCAAAAACCATAAAAATATCCTTATGAACGGTGCATACTTCAACCTTCAGTGTAACTTTACTCTAGTTCTCCCCAACCCAAAGCTAAATACCACATTTATCCTTGACAAAGAAAATTACACACTTTAAATTATTTCAAACTACCTTTAAAAAAATTGGCAGCAAACCCTGCCTTGTTCACAGTTCCATCAGAAACAAACTTCATCCACAAGGTATTGGAGGTAGATTTGATATCTTCAGGTTTATCATAACCACAGAAACGCCCTATCAAAGGACTATTTTCACTGGTTCCATCTCGAACTTCTAGGTAGTCATAGGCACAGTTGTCATGTCTTTCAATCTGCAGTATTAAAAATATGTGAATATAACTCATTAATAGATAAAACAATTTCTATAGAAAAAGTATTATGTATTTCTCAGGGCCATAGTACTGATACGGTCATATAATAAATTTCTTATACCAAATGAGAGCATTTCTCAAGAATGTGCATGGTAATATCGACACTGTACATGAATAAAGGACATATTCTGGCAGACAGAAAGACATAAAAAAAATCTATGGAACAGTCCATCCACATGCATCAGGATCAATAGAAGTTAACTGCCTTTTAAAAGAAAATAAAAAATAGTAATTCTTTGGAAAATAAAGCTAAAAAAAAATCCAGACTTAAAATTATCATTAAAAATCTGGGCCATATATGATATAAGCAATGTATAATTTGTTCTGAAATATAATTATAAAAAGTGTGCATAGTTCACCAAAAAACCCATTATTTTATTCATAGAGAAGCTGGATTCAAATTCTATCAACAAATATTGCACTGTTTTAGCTTATAAATCTGCTTTTGAAGGAAAATCTGATAATATGGGATTGCAGTTCTTCCCAATCTATGAAATTCTTTGCCCATAGTCAGCATAGCTGTGTGTAGAAGGACTACCATATTGTAGAATCAGCACTGGCTTTTTACCTCAACACCTTCTCTCACCCTGTATAACCTGGAGGAACTCAATCTCTTTCCTTAAACAACTGAATGCAAACGTTAGCTCAGACTATTAGCCTATAAAACTTTATGAAGAATTGCACGTTCATGGACCTAGGTTTTGACCCTGAACTCCAAAACACAACAAACCAAAATTTACAAATTGTTTTAAAAATTATAAAACAATTTCTAAATAAAATTCTTGCTTTTTATTTTTTCATAGAAAATGGGCACTAGCCCAGAAGTCTTAATAGAGTCAACTATTTACTAGATATTTGAGGCTAGAAAGCACAGACATCTAGAATTAATAAACCATGAAAAGTATCACATCTCATCAACTATCATTCAACACATAATTTACTAACTTACAGAATTCTCCTTTACAAAACAAACGTCAGGGAACATGGTCATTCCATGAAGCTACAACCCGAATGCACAAAACTGCTGATGTAGTTGGTTAAAGAATGTATTTCCCAATTTGTTGATACATTAACAGTGACAGTCTTCAAATTAGGTAGCATAGGGACAAACAGAAAAAATAGATTTTTGAGGGGTAGATTGGTGGCATAGTGGTTGAGTTTATGTGCTCCACTTTGGTGGCCCAGGGTTTGCAGGTTCAGATCCCGGGCACAGACCTACACACCACTCAACAAGCCATGCTGTGGCAGCGTCCCACATACAAAAGAAATAGAGGAAGATGGGCACAGATGTTAGCTCAGGGCTAATCTTCCTCAGCAAAAAGAGGAAGATCGGCAACAGATGTTAGCTTAGGGCCAATCTTCCTCACAAGAAAAAAAAAAAGAAAGAAAATAAGATTTCGAAAGACATATTTGGTTAGTACATTTGCTGCTTCCCTTTCCTAATTGCAAGATTCATCATTCCTTCAATAAATATTCAGAGCCTTTTCTATGCTGGGCACTCTTCTCACTGCTCAGTATGCATCATCCAGCAAAATAGCTAAGAGTCTCACCCTCCTGGAGCTTACATGCTACTGATGGGTAGAAAGCAAAGGACACCACAAACAGGATAAATAATTAAGTCATAAAATATTAGAAAGTAATAAATTCTATGGAAAAATATAAAGTGAAACTAGATAGAAAGTATAAGAAGCAAGGGTAGGGGGAGTGAAGGTTGTGATTTTAAATTATACGGTCAATAGGTGATCATTGAGTTTGATTCACAAATCCAGATTTTTTCCTAAAAATGTATTCTCTTTGTGTGTGGAATCATGGGAAAATATCTAATATGAAGAATATCTCATTTTGAAAGCACATTTTTAAGACTAGCTTTTTAAATCGAGAGGGTGAGGAAAAGCTAGCAGTGGAACTGGTAACTTAGTCACCAGGGACAACAAGCTCAATCTGACCAGCTATATAAATGCCCTCCTCTTTCCGTCTTTAATATACTCCCTTCGAAATCAGAGTTCGCTATAAATATGTGAACATTTTCAGATGGCTAAAGGCTGTTCTTCAGTCAAGGGACACATAAAACGATATCTAAAACTCTCAAGGTGTACAGCTTGACAAAAGAATAAACAACGCTGAACTAGTGACAAAACTGTAGGGAAAATAACCAAAGGTGTCAGCAAGTCATCCTGTGCTCACCTGCTTAGAGCAGCACAGAACGACCTGCCCCTGACTCATGGATCATACTGGAGGAGGGAGAAAAAGAATGAGCTAGAAGAGGAAAGGAAATGAGAACACACAATGAAGAAGGAAGCTCCTCGTAGCGGAAGGTAGATTAACAGAAATAAAATTACATTGCATCATCTTAGAAGCAATGGTAGAATAAAAATTCAGGTCAATTAAAAAGGGGTTTTAAATGACTATTTTGAAGAGATTACTGATTTTCAAAATTACAAAGCTAAAAAGAAAGAAAATAAGATAGTGTTAAATTGAAACAAGAAAATTTATATTTCTTTGGTAACTAAAAAAAAACTAGAATAATGGATATTTCCCCGTAAATAAAACTCACTCTGTTCTTTTAACAGATACACAATAGATCATTTAAAATTTTAATTTATACTATATTCACTGGTCGCTTAGTAAAAATCAGAGGTTTAAATATTTTGTGATACACAAAAGTAAATATTTCATGAGGAAAATGCATAAAAATGACCAACTGTGGGATTAATTCCATCAGTTCCTATTTATGAATTACACATTACTTACATATTGTGTATTATGCACCTGGTATTAGGGGCAACACAATAGAAATATACACTGTATTTTCACATAGAAAATGCCACAGTTGTTGAATTGCTTAGATAATAGAATGTGCCTGGTATATATGAATTGATGATATTCAGAAATGCATTATCCCTTCACAACAACAATTCTGGATATCTTATCAATGACCTCAATGATCTTTGTTTACATGTTCTTCCAGTTTAATTGCATTAATCCTAACTGCAATGCCAGCACAAGGAGTCTGCTGTATTGGTGTGAATTATAACTACACATCTTCAACAACGTCTACATAGGAGTAACGATGGTGAGCACAAAGGAAAGTTTGAGTTATTTTATTTATGTGATTTGTGTAACATTTTCTCCAGCTATATCAATTAATCATACATCACTTAATATATAGATTGGATAGAAATAAATATGGTTGAAGCTAAAAAGTGGATCAAGTCTACCGATGTTGTGCCTGTAACCTTAAGCTCCATGAGGAAAAGAACACCCAAGTCAAGGAATTATAAAAACAAAAAAAGAAAAAGGAGTTTTTTCTTGAGTTAAATCATGAACACAGTTCATAGAGCTGGGACCTGAAGGCAGTGTCATGCACAATTACACGTATGTATAATAAATATGTTTTGATAATGATGCTGATTTATTACAGCCTTGAAGGTAATCATCAGAGCACAAACCATATACGAATGTGGCAAATTTATCATAATGTAAACAAAACTAATATGTACATAGAGAATATAATGAAAGAGATAGTAAGCTCTGAATATTTTTTAGAAAACTAATATTTAAATGATATTGGAAGTACATCCAAATACTCAAAGGACGAGCAAGCATAAAGATTAGCCAGAAGAGATTAATATTACATTTCATTACTCAGTGGGGCTTAGGCTTTTACTGGTAAGGTAGAGAGGAAGCATGGAAAAGCTAAGTGGTTTCTACTTAGCACGAACTAAAATCAATGAAATGCAACCTAAAGTGGTCAGCCTCTCATTCCAAAACTACCAACAAGTATAGACCTCATGGTCAGTGCAGGTAGATGAGCTCTCACACTGAAAAAAAGCCATCCCCAGAGGAAGGAACCAGGCTTAGGACCCATTCACACACCTTGCCTTCATTTTATAACCAAATTTCCAAGTAAACATAACATTGTAAAAACATCTACTGCAGTTCCTAGTTATTTGCAAAAAACTCTGAAAACTCCAAAATTTCTAGATAATAGTTTCAATAAAAACTCTCCCATACCCTCTGAAAAATTAAAAACAGAATTACCGTATGATCCAACAATCTCACTTCTAGGTATAGATCCAAAAAATTGAAAGCAGGCTCTCAAAGAGATATTTGTACATCCATGTTCATAGCAGTATTTTTCACAATAGCCAAAATGTGGATGCAATCCAAATGTCCATCAACAGATGAATGGATAAACAAAACGTGGTACATACATCCAATGGAATATTATTTAGCCTTAAAGAAGGAAATAAATCCTTTCATGTGCTACAACATGAATGAACCTTGAGGACATTACACTAAGTGAAATCAGCCTGACACAAAAAAGACAAATACGGATGATTCCACTTACATGAGGTACCTAGAGTAGTCAAAGTCATAGAGCCAGAAAGAAGAAGGGTTAGGGGACAAAAGGAAGTTATTGTTTATTAGGGATAGAGTTTCAATTTTGCAAGATGAAAGCAGTTCTAGAGATTAGTTATACAACAATGTGAATGTACTTTACATACTGAACTGCACATTTATAAATGGTTAAGATGGGGGGCCGGCCCGGTGGTGTAGTGGTTAAGTTTGCGCGCTCTGCTTCGGCAGCCCGGCGTTTGCAGGTTTGGATCCAAGGCGCGCATAGATGCAATGCATGTCAAGCCATGCTGTGGCAGTATCCCATATAAAGTAGAGGAAGATGGGCACAGATGGTAGCCCAGGAACAATCTTCCTCAGGAAAAAAAAAAAAAAGGAGGATTGGCAATGGATGTTAGGTCAGGGCTAATCTTCCTCACCAAAAAAAAGACAAAATTGGTTAAGATGGTAAATGTTATGTTATGTCTGTTTTACCATAACAATAAAAAAACCTCTCCCATGACTCAGAATGTAGTTTCAAAATATAATTAATGCAATCAACTACATAAATGATTAAACTTTTGTAGATTATATAATTTAAA